GGCCCAGCAATTGCACTACTAGGTATTTACCCAAGGGATACAGGTATGCTGTTTTGAAGGGGCACATGCACGCCCCAATGTTTACAGCAGCACTATCAACAATAGCCAAAGTATGGAAAGAGTCCATATATCTATCAATGGATGAATGGGTAAAGAAGATGTCGTGTATACATACAGTGGAGTATTACTCGGCAATCAAAAGGAATGAAATCTTGCCATTGAAACTACGTGGATGGAACTAGAGGTACTATGCGAAGCGAAATTAGTCACAGAAAGACAAATATCATATGATTCACTCACATAAGGACTTTAAGATACAAAACAGATGAACATAAGGGAAGCAAAAATCATATAAAAACAGGGAAGGAGATAAAAACATAAGAGACTCATAAATATGGAGAACAAACAGAGGGTTACTAGAGGGGTTATGGGAAGGGAATGGGCTAAATGGGTAAGGGACATTAAGGAAACTACTTCTCAAATCATTGTTGCACTATATGCTAACTAACTTAGATGTAAATTAAAAAATAAATTAAATAAAAATTTTTAAAAAAGAGTACAAAAAAAAAAAGGATATAAGCAACTATATACCAAAGAATGAAATACAAGGATACTCACTGTAACATAGTTTATAAATATTAAAATAATGGAAAATCAGCTAAATATCTAATAATTGGGGGCATCTGTGTGGCTCAGTTGGTTAAGCATCCCACTCTTGCTTTCAGCTCAGGTCATGATCTCACAGTTCATAGGATCGAGCCCCATGACAGGCTCAGTGCAGAGTGTAGAGGCTGCTTGGGATTCTCCTCTCTCTCTCTCTGTCCCTCCCCTGCTTGTACTCTCTCTCAAAAATAAATAAATAAACTTAAAAAAAGTCCAATAATTGAAAGAAAGTTAAAAAAGAAAAACATGGAGTCATAATAAAAAAAAAAAAAACAACTGTTGAGTTATAGAATATTATGATGCCATTAGAATGATATGAATGTACTAACAAACTGTATCTGGGATATGCTATCTGTGGAAAAAATTCCAGAATAGGAAGAACAATACATTCAAAAAGAAAAATTATGCATATTATAGTTATGTACTTACATATACACTGAAACACAAAAATGGTATTACCTCTAGGAAGGTAGTTTGAGAACAGGGCAAGTAGAATTCACATGAGAAACTGGAGACTTACACATTATATTCTTGGATTGTGTTGAATTTAAAAAAAAAAAAAAAACTTAAGAGGAAAGATTATAAAAATGTCTACTTGTCTAAACATCAGATGTAGTTTCATATTATTCTGGAAAGTAAAGTATCTTTCTATGGCACAATTAACTATTTCATAAACCTGTTATTAGATCATTCAAATATCCTATTTTAGTAGAGTGACATTCTGATAATGAATTAACCAACCTCACATATATAATACCGAGAATACAAATGAACATTTATATAATATAAAAATAAAACAGATCAGACATATCAGATATGGTATACTTTTTTTTCAAATCAGAAAGACTTTCATACCAGGCTCATGAGCTAGAGCATGTTGAAGAACTTTTTCTGCTTTGTCATACCATTTCAATTTTAATAAAAGCTCAGCCAGGTCATAGCAAAGATAATTTTGTTGTCCACTTTTCAGAGCGGCTTCATAGTAAGTGATTGCCTAAACAAAATCCATTTCAGTTAGGAAAATAAGGCAATGAGAATGGTGTTCAAGCATAGATATTTTATACATTATACATTTAAAGCATAGAAAAATTGGAAATAACCTAGCAGAAACTCAGGCATGTACCTATCAGTTAAATATGCCATTTTTTAGACAATCAAACATCACATAAGGCAACTGGCATTTCTTATGAAAAGCAGTTAATGAAAACTGCTTGGTGAATTTTTTTTTTTTTACCAGTTTTATTCCAGAGGCCATTGAATGCATTGAATGCAAATATATATGTTCAGTAGTTACCAGGAATAGAACAAGAATATAACAACTAAAGGAAAATCCATTATCCCTACTAGAGGGAAATAAAAGCACATGGCTTACCAAAACTGGTTCATTAGAAAGGACAGCTATTATGCTTTGTCCTATAATGAAAGAGATATAATGTTATCACAATTGACTGGTTGCAGGGTTTAGGTGCAAGATGAAGCCAGAAGTAAACTTTAGGCTCCAGTCTTTGCAAAATGCAGTGGTCAAGAATCTGAGACATTGACAAAATCTTTAACATAAATTCCAGTTTGTGAATATAAATTTGGAGTTTATAACCATCAAGATACAAACAGTGCTTGCTGTAGACTTCCCAGAGAGCAGGGTTTGAAACATTTAATCCAATAGGCATATCTCAAGTACATAAAGTACTTACCTTTGAGTAGTTGTGAGTTTTGACAAGTGCTTTCCCAATTTTGCTTGCCAGTGTTCCATCTTTGGGATTCTGATTTAATGCTTGCTCATACGCTATTATGGCTTCTTCTGGCTAATGTTGGCAGATTCAAAAAATAAGCAATGAATAAACAGCTTAGCTGGATCCTTTTAAAGAGCAACATTTCTGTAATTAAGCTCTATATCTGTAGTAGTCACTCAGTGAGACAAATAAAGTACATAGTTAAGTCTAGAAACGTTACCACTGTCAGAGAGGTGACAGTCACTAGTGTAGGTGTAACTCATTACTGGCTCTCTTCATTTTTCTGTTTAAAAGAGACTCTTACCTTGTTTCTGGTATCCTATCTATTTCAAATAATGATAATGCTGAATTACTGGATCTCAGTTTGAAAACAACTTTTTTACTGTAATGGTTATTTCCTTTTTACTGTAATGACTGGATCTTTAAATAACACTTAAAACATTCCTTTAAATAGAATATTATGTTAATCACAAAAAGGAGTTTTTTGTTTGTTTGTTTTTTAAATCTAAGTTCAGTAGCATCAGAAACTTTACCTCTTGTATATTCATGTATGCATCACCAAGGAGAAGAAAAGAACGAGGGCTGGGCATTCTCTCAGCAATTTCTCTAGAAATCAGACCAATTCTAGTTAGTATCCTGAATATAAATATCTTCTTCTAAAAGAATTAAATAAAAAGTAAGTTTACTTATTTCAATTAAGCCATAGCTTTCAGAGTATCTTCTACATTGTAAAAGAAAAAAAAAAACAACCCATTCACACCCAGATTATTTATGCTAGATCAACTTTTTTTTTTCCATTAAATCTTTCCATTTTTTGATAGCAGGTAACAAGAGTACTGGTAGACAGTAAACATATAAGCTCTCATTATATGAAAATACATTTTTTACCTTTAATTTTGAAATGATGTGGGAGCGAAGGCACCAAAACAGGATGTGACGCTATCAGTAATGTACAGCATCTCACTCAATTGGTCCAAAAACTATATGCAAGGTATAACTTTATACATGACACTAAGAACTGAAGTCTATAACTAATGTGTCAGATCTGCCTGAAACAAGACCTATGCTTTTAACTATTATATTATAGGGCATCCAAAACAAATCAATCTTATTTTTAAATATCTTCTGATCATGAGAGATGACGGTGCTGATCTTTTGGAAACATCACAGGGAATAAGATCTAGGACCTCCAGTTCATCCACCCATACACAGGTGCTGCTCAGTTTCTTCGAATCACTCAGCACCTACAAAGAACCTGAACAGCTTTCTAAGTTTTGATATTTACATGATATAGATGAGCCAATGAAATAATTCATCAACACTGTGCTATGTTCTCAGTAGATAAGAATGTTGATCTCTTCTTACATGAAGTGTGTGCTTGTATGTTTATAAGAGTAAGAACAACCTGTGTGTGTTTTCGATCCCAATAAGAGCACCAGTGTATGACATAATGCACCTGCCCTTTCACCAAGGAAAATTTGTAATCCATACCTTGGCGTGGTGTATACTAAGTCATAATTTTCTATTGCTATAACTATTATGCTGAGCATTAAATATGACCATTTAGCCCCTGAATTGTTGTTATATTACAGTTTTCTTAAGCTATTAGAATATATGTAACAGTTGCTTTTCCCCTTCTCAAACAGAAAGGTTTAAGGTCTAGAAATAACATCTAATGAAGGAGGAGAGTTAAGAATCTAGAGTAAGCCACAAAATAATCATCATCATTAATGATTTATGTCTTAGGAGAGTGAGTTGCTTGGTTAGTGTGACTGTGGTTGGTAGTAGAACATATTAAGGAAAGGGTTTATGAAATATCTCTGTAAAGCAGTTAAAGAAAGAAGAAAGAAATCTGGGAACTAATTTTAAGAAGTAAATGTGTCAAAATACAATGGGTTGAAATAATCATTTACCTGTAACAAGTAATATATAACATTTTCTCTTTTCTGTGCTTCAGATAAATATCTGCCATTTTTTCTTTGGCCTCTATGAAATAAGGCTGTTCAGCGGTAACATTCCGAAGCATACTTAAAGCTCGCTCAACATCCCCCTGGGCCAGAGCTAGGTCTGCATTAGCAATAGTAACACGCAATTCTTCAGATGTCCCAGAAAATTCATGGATGGCATCTTGTATAACTTTCGCTGCCTCATGCTATAAAGATGAAGTTAAAATAACATTCTTTCAAAATATTCAACAAATTACATTAGAAATGAAGATTTTCTACTAATCCAGAATGAACAATAATTATAGCACAGGTATGATGAAAATTGACAGATTTATGAAAAGTACAAAATTTTAAAACTAAACTCAGAGATCAAATTCAGATGACAGTATGAATATTTTTTAGGTGAAAAGTGTTTTCATGACTAGGACAATGGCAATTGCTATGAAAGAGCTCCTGCTACTGTAATTTAATAAGCATTTACTTTGTATCCAGCATTATATTAACCCATTTAATTCTCACAAAACCCCTCTAAACCCTCTCACAAAAACTCCCATCTTGCAGCAAGGAAAATGAAATTTGGAGAGTTAAGAAGCCATGTTCATTATTGCCCCGTGATGGGATCCAGTCCACAATCATCCACTGAACCAAATGGCTCTTCACCAAGTAGCAGATTACTTTATTCCCTATACCAGGAGCAGTTCTGTTATGCCTCAGCTGAATACATTACCTCATTTTCAAGTCTGTACCTCAATGAAACTAAAATGTCTTTTTTTTTTTTTTTTTAATGTTTATCTTATTTTTGAGACAGAGAGAGACACAGCATGAGCAGGGAAGGGGCAGGGAGAGAGGGAGACACAGAACGTGAAGCAGGCTCCAGGCTCTGAGCTGTCAGCACAGAGCCCGACGCGGGGCTCGAACTCACGAACTGTGAGATCATGGCCTGAGCCGAAGTCACACGCTCAACCGACTGAGCCACCCAGGCGCCCCAAACTAAAATGTCTTTTAAGATCAATATCAATTTTAGAGAATATAAGACATTCCGATTTCAGAAACATTAACATGAAAAAAAACAGTGCATTTTAGAATCAACTATCTGTGGTAGAACTGGTTCTTGTTATGTATTTATGTTAATGTATTAGTGAAATAGAAATTATTTTGCGATGCGGCAAGTATCTAGACACAGCCTTCTTCATTTCCGCTAAAATACGAAAATAACTGACTAGCAACTGTTGCAATCTAAAAAACAGACCTAAATGATGTTAAGTTCTTCATTTTCTATAAGGCTTTAACTCCTCTCTCAGAATTGCATCCTTGCCTGCTTCCTGTCTATTTATTA